CTGTATTTATAGAAATGTGGAGTCTGTGATTTACAATACAGAATTCTGTCACCTGTTAGCAGAGATAATTTTATTTATTTTCTATTTTGGTTGTGACCATGGGAACTACTTAAAATATCTTAAGGGTATAACAATGTTCCTTAAACTCATGGTGTCAATTGCATACAAATCTCTGCTGTTTGCCATTTCTACCCATGTACTCACATAAGTTGATATCACATTATCTTTACCATTGTGTCATAGCAGATATTTCAGATTTTATTTATGTTATTTATTTTTTTAAAAGACACATTTTTTATCTCAGAGAAGGAGATGGGGAAAGAGATAGAAACATCCATGACGAAAGAGAATCATTAATTGGCTGCCTCCTGCTCACCCCTCACTGAGGAACGACCCCAACACTCGGCCACTCAGAGGAACAGAAAGTCTGCCACGGTCCCTTCTTAATACTCACAGAGAGGTCGAAGCCTCATCCTCGCACCTCTTTCCAGTGGTCTAGAGTCACAGACAAAGGAGTGCTCCGGCCCTGACCCATTTCAGATCTTAGTGTAATGACTACAATAATGACACTAATGACACAAAAAACAAAGACAACCTGAGGTCTCAGAAGGCCTCCATTCAACCACGGCGCCACCGGAGACGGAAACATAAATCACCAAATCCAGATTCCAGAGTCCAGACGGAACGGTCCCTCACGGGTCCGTTCCTCCCAATCCCCGGGACGTCTCCCGGGGGGACGGTTTTTGAGAGCCGAGGCCTCCCCTCGACTCAAAGGACTGCCTTCCTCACGGCCGGCACGACCCCGTCGATCCAAAATTCAAAGGTATCAGACACGAATTATGGACATACAAAGACTCAGACAGCCGGCCGGCAAACGATTTAGGACTCACCTCCAAGATGGACTGCAGCCCCCCAGGGGGTCGCCACGATCCCGGGCGAGCCCCCAAAATGTTGGGCCGGTGACCCCCTTGCCCAACCCAGAACCGGTGGCGACCCCAACTGAGAGCGAGAGTCCAACTTGATGCAACAGCAAGAGGTTCCTTTATTCAAGCGCGCTTGGTCTCGCAGCCGGCAGCACCAAGCGTGTCTGCCTGCTCGAGCCCCGAACAAGGGGAGGGTACAAGCTTTTAAGGATAAAAACCACACGCAGGTGGCTGGGGACTTTCCACACTCTAACAGCTTCGTGGTTAGGGTGTTAAGGCCATGGTTAGGGTGTTAAGACATCTGAGTCTGCTTTGGGCCAAGACAGCTGGGGGCGGGGGCGAGGGGTGTTTTGCAGCCTGACATTCCCCCCTTTTTCTATGGGAGAGTTCCAATCCTGGTACTCAAAGGGGGGTCTCGGTCTCTATTGGCTGATACCCTTGCTGGAGGACTAGCATATGGACTGCACTGATGCGGTCCCGTATGAAGGACACTAGGCGGTTGATGATACAAGGACCTATAGTTAGCAGGAGAAGTACAATTAGCAGGGGTCCTAGCAGGGAAGAGAGCAGGGTGGTCAACCAGGGAGAATTATCAAACCATTGCTCGAACCAACTTTTTCTCTGCTCTCGCTCGCGCCTTCGGGCCTCAATTCGTTCTCTAAGCTTAGACATTGAGTCTTTGATTACTCCCGAGTGGTCGGCATAAAAACAACACTGCTCTTTGAGGGCAGCACAGAGTCCTCCTTCCTTTAAGAACAGGAGGTCTAGTCCCCTCCTGTTTTGCAGTACTACCTCAGAGAGAGAAGTCAGGGATTCTTCTAATTTAGTAATGGCCTGTTCTATATTTTTAAGGTCCTGGTCTATGGCCGCTCTTAAGTCTTCGGTATATCTAGAAGCTTGGACTAGGGCCGTGGCCCCCGTTCCTACTCCTGCGGCTACTCCAATTCCTAAGAGGGCGGCTAAAGTCAGAGATACTAACTCCCTCTTCTGCCTGGTACTAGTGCTGGTGTCAAATTCTTCTTCAAAAACCTTAGCTTGGTAGTAATATATTCTGGGTACCAGTTGTACTATAACACAAAACTCCCCACTGTTATTAAAAACCCTCCCATGAATGCAAGGGGATATACCGGTGTTACATGCCCACCATCCCTCAAATGGGGGCTTAAGGTAGTAGTCCCCCTCTGGCAGAGTCTCAATGGTACTATTACAGAGATGCTTCCATGTGCCCTGGACTTTCCCGAAGCAAAGCCCTTTTCCCGAAATCTCTGACAGGGTAAGTTTTCTGTGTTCCCCCCATGGGCAGGACTGAGGCCCCTTTTCAGTTAGGTTGGTGTAGTTGCCTACAAAAGCGATCCCCTCGTAGTATGGTGGGCTCGCAGAAACACAGAGCCAGCAGTCTCTGGTCAGGGAGGGGCTAGTCTGGTTCAGAGTGTTGTAGCTCCCCTGGATGAGAGCTACCTGCCCCCCCGCAGTCTCAGGGTGCAAAGTCCTGGAAAAAGGAGGGGTCCAACTGCTAGTGACAGAGTGGGGCGAGGGGTTGAGGGTGGGAGTGGGAGCCTGCCTCTGGCTTTGCTTGCCCCTTACCTAGGGTCTGAGGGCCGCTCCTATATTGGGGAGCGGGGCTACATAGCCAGGACCGAGGGGTACCGCGGGTCTAGAATTCTCGACATCTAGGTAAATGTTAAAGAAGAACCCATCATCATGCCCTTCCTTGTATAGGCGTAGCCCCCAAGTATACCCTGCCTTCCAGAGTGCTACTGGGAGCTCCTTTCCTGCTTTGGTGAAGGATATGTTTAAGGGGTTCATCCAGCCTGGGTAGTCTGCTATGGATGTTCCTTGGGTTCCCCAGGTTGGGACCGTAAGGCTCTGGTTCCGGCTGACTTTGATGAGCTCCCACCCAGAATTATAGTTTTTTATCCACCACCCGGTCCCCGTGGTCTCGCACCCCCATTGGTCACAGTAGTAGGCCCTTTTGTCTGTGCATTTCCCTTTAGGTGCTCGCCGCCCCCTGATCCTAGGTTCGGGACAGACATAAAAGGGGAGGCGCGAGAGCGAGTATCGGGCCCCCGTATAACTACAGAAAACCCCTCGTTGTAGGCGATGTTGCTCCCCAATGTAAGTCCTGGTCTCCTGACCTTGCCGGGAGCGAAGCTTGAGCGGGTCAACAGTTTTTTTCTGCAATCCAGTCATTCTGCCTATCCTCTGGGGCCTTCTTGACGTGGGAAGCGTGGACCCAGGCAGGAACTCCATCTACTCGTACTGCAGTCGGCGTAGTCAGCAATACGATGTAGGGTCCCTTCCACCGGGGCTCTAGGCTTGCTACACGGTGCCGCCGCACGTAGACGAGGTCCCCGACCTGGAACTGATGTGGAACGCTGAGATCTCCAGGCTTATAGGCTTCAGCTAACGGGGCCCAGACTTCTCTCTGAAGAGTTTCAAGGGCCTTCAGCCTAGCGAGGAGAGATTGGGGAGCAGGTAATTGTGAGGTGTCACTCCAGGGGTCTGCAGCTAAGGGCGGGGGCGCCCCGAAGAGTAACTCAAAAGGGGTCAGTCCCACTGAGTTAGGAGTGTTCCGGGCTCGGAACAGGGCATAGGGGAGGAGGGCTGTCCAGTCTGTGACGCCAGTCTCAATGGATAATTTTGTCATGGTCTCTTTTAGAGTTCTATTCATCCTTTCTACCTGTCCTGAGCTTTGGGGATGATATGCACAATGTAATTTCCAATTAATCCCCAGTACCCTGGCCATCCCCTGGCTTACCTGGGCGACGAAGGCCGGGCCGTTGTCAGACCCTATTACCTTGGGTAGTCCAAATCGGGGGAAGATTTCTTTGAGTATCTTCTTTGCCACCACAGCTGCCGTCTCATGCCGGGTGGGGTAAGCTTCTACCCATCCGGAAAAGGTGTCAACAAAAACTAAAAGATACCTATATCTATATTTAGTTGGTTTGATTTTGGTAAAGTCTACTTCCCAATGGACCCCGGGTCGGTCCCCCCGCTCTCGCCTCCCTTCAGGGATGGCAGAGGTTTTAGCATTTACCAGCTGGCAGGCCCGACACTTCTGAATAATGTTTCCTAGGGCCTTTGTCAGTCCCTGGAAGTGGTATTCTGTGCTACTACAAATTTTTCTGAGATTCTTCTCCCCCAGATGGGTGAGTCGGTGAAGCTGGGTTAAGTACTCAGCCGCTGCCTCCCTCGGGACAATGGGCTTGCCTTCCCCCCGAGTAGTCCAGATACCTTGTTTTATCTTGTAGAGGCCAGGTTGTGCTCTGAACTTCTCTTCTTCCTCTCTGGAATACTGCAGGAAGTTTGGCTGGGGCTCCTTTATAGGCCATGCAGAGAGTGGCAGTATGCAAGGTCCTAAGGCAGCCTCTTTGGCCGCTGAGTCTGCCCTGCGGTTTCCCTCTGCGATCTCCGACCTTCCCCTTTGGTGTCCTGGGCAATATATGATGGCGAGCTGCCTGGGCTCCAGGACAGCTTCTAGTAGTCTTAATATTTCAGCCTTGTTTTTAATTTCTTTTCCGGCAGAGGTCAGCAACCCTCGCTGCCGATAGATGGCACCATGCACATGTGCCGTGGCAAAGGCATATCTGCTGTCTGTGTATATGTTAACTCTTTTCCCTTTGGCCAATTGTAGAGCCTTGGTGAGGGCGATTAACTCGGCCCTCTGTGCCGAAGTCCCCTCAGGAAGGCTACTAGCCCACACCGTGCCCTGCAGATCTACTACTGCCGCCCCTGCCTTTCTTTGTCCGTTTAGCAAGAAGCTGCTCCCATCCGTGTACCAGGTGTGGTCTACCTGGGCCAGCGGGGTGTCCTGTAAGTCTTTCCTGACCCCAGTTTCCTCAGCCAATACCTCGAGGCAAGGGTGGAGCACCTCCTGAGCACCCCCTGTCTCCGGCAGAAGGGTTGCCGGGTTGAGGGCTGTAGGGGTTCCGAAAGTAATCCTCTCCTCGTTTAGAAGGAGGCTCTGGTAGTGGGTGATTCTGGCATTTGACATCCAGCGGTCTGGGGGCTGGCGGATGATGCTCTCTAAGGCATGGGGAGCAATGACGGTCAGTTTCTGCCCCAGAGTCAGTTTATCCGCATCTTTTACTAGCAGGGCTGTGGCGGCGATTGCCCGGAGACACGCTGGCCAACCCCTGGCAACGGAGTCTAACCTTTTGGAGAGGTAGGCAACAGGTCTCTTCCAGGGCCCAAGGGCCTGGGTTAGGACTCCACGCGCTATCCCTTTCCTCTCGTCAATGTAGAGGGTGAAGGGCTTCTCTACATTGGGGAGGGAGAGGGCCGGGGCTGAGAGGAGAGCCCTTTTAATCTCAAGAAAGGCTCTCTGTTGTTCCTCTCCCCAATGGAAAGATTGTCCCTGCTTGGTTAAGGGGTACAGCGGTTCTGCCAGGGTGGCGAACCCCGGGATCCACAGGCGGCAGAACCCGGCTGTTCCCAGAAACTCACGGACCTGCCGGGGTGTTTCGGGGGCAGGGATTTGCATGACGGTGGCCGCTCTCCCCTCTGTTAACCATCGCTGCCCACCCTCCAGAATATATCCTAGGTAGGTGACCCTCTTTTGGCAAATCTGAGCCTTCTTAGCTGACACCCGGTACCCCAATTTAGTCAGTTCAGAAAGGAGGCCCTTGGTACCTACAAGACAGTCTTCTTGGGTGGCTCCGGCCAGGAGGAGGTCATCTACATACTGAAGGAGCGTCACCTGGGGATTTCTGGTCCTGAATCCAGCCAAGTCTTTGTGGAGCGCTTCATCGAAGATGGTGGGGGAGTTTTTAAAACCTTGCGGCAGCCTAGTCCAAGTCAATTGTCCTGAGCTCCCCGTGTCGGGATCTCTCCATTCAAAGGCAAACAGTCTTTGGCTCTCAGGGTGTAACTTGAGACAGAAAAAAGCATCTTTGAGATCAAGCACAGTGTACCAGACGCGGTCAGGTGGGATGGAACTGAGGAGGTTATAAGGGTTTGGGACAGTTGGGTGAATGTCCTGCACACGCTTGTTGACCTCTCTCAGGTCTTGAACCGGCCGGTAATCGTTAGTTCCTGGTGGGGCTGGATTCCCTCTCGAGCCTCCCGGGTCATGGGGTATTGCCGAATCGCCACTGGGGTGGCGGAAGACTTGAGCTCTATGTCTACCGGGGGCTGGTGCTTGGCTCCC